CCCGCCGTGACGGGGCCGTGGCTCACCGCAGCTCGAGGCTCCTCGCCGGCCCGGCGCTGGCTCCCTGGCCCGGTGACTCCTGCATTCCTCAGCACAGGGAGCCCCGCTCGCTCGCCCAGGAAGGGTGGAGAAGCCGCCCCACCCCGGCTGGTTGCTCGCCGGTGGTCACAGCCCCTCGGTGCGGTGGCTTTGAAACCCTCTGGGCTGAGCCTGGCCTAGAACAAGGCTGTGACCGCCTGGCCAAGGCTGTGACCGCCTGGCCGAGGCGGTGACCAAGAGTGACACGGTGTGTGGGTGCTGGGGACCGGGGATGGGCTGGCGAGCCCAGCACCGAGCCCTGCAGATCACCGTGGGTCGGGCACTGGTGCCAAGCCCCGGGGGCCCCAGAGAGCTTGGTGGCCGTGGGGACTTGCTCGGGGTCAGGTCTGAGGTGGCAGATGCTCTGCAGAGCCAGCGAGGTGTTCCAGCCCCTGCCCCAACAGGGATGGCACAGAGCCCCAGGGACAGGCAGCAGCTGGAGGAGAGACGGGGAAGGAGCAACAAGCATTTCGTCCTCCCTCCCTACCCAGCCTGGAGGAGGCCCAGGGCTCACAGCAGAGTCCTCCGAGCTGTCCCCCTGCCCTGGGCAGTCTCGCCTTTGCCAGCTCTCCTTATTTTCCAGCTGCTCTGACAATTAATCAGAGCCACTCCTACAGGATCCTAGCCCTCTGAAGCTGCCAGTCCCTATCCAAAAGGATTTTAAATGTTTGCATCATGCTCCGGTCTCTTTGCTTTGCCCCTGACAAAGGCCGCTGCCGCAGGGCCTGGAGGTGACACCTCGGTGAGAAGGTGGCACTGCCAGGGTTGTGTGTGAAGAGCCTGCCTGGCTCCTGGGGACCCTGCGTGGGCTGGGAACACCCACACTCCGAGATGTGCCGAGGGCCTGGGGATGCTCCCGAGGACAGCGAGGGGGTGTGGGGAGACAGGCAAGGGGCAACCTCTGTCCTGGGAGTGGAGCAGGTGGGACAAGGAGCCTCCTGGCTACTTCAGCCCCAAGGGCAGCTTCTGGCCCACAAACCTGAAGCAAGAGAAGGATGAAGGACACTGTCTGCTCCATAAACACTCTGTTCATAGGAAACTCAGCCTAAGAAAACAGACTCCCCTAAGTCAGAGGCGAACCGGAGCCCTGCTCCTCACAGGGCTGAGCTTGGCCTGGGGCTGTAAGTGTGAGGCTCCGGGCCCTCCGCTCCACCTGGGCGCAGTACTTCTCGGGGATGCCGGAGGCTCTGTGAGAGGAAAGAAATCATCAGGCCCCTGTGCTACACCGGAGCTGAGCTTTGGGACTGCGGCCCCGAAGCAGAAGCTGTGAGATGTCCCAGGGGTCAGGAGATGGAGGGAAGCCAGAAGGGACTCAGGGACATGGAGGGAGCCAGGGAAGTAAGCGGCCGCTGGCAGCACATCACCTGAGCTCCTGCATCTTCTGCTGCTTGAGCTGGGCAATGCGCTGGCTGCGCTGGCGGGCCTCCTCCTCCAGCCGCTGGCACTCCTGGAAGGCAGCCGCCCGCTCCCGTGCCAGCTGCTGCTGACGCTCCTGCATCTGGCGCCGGACGTCGTGAGCATGGGCGAGCTGCAGACTTGCCCTCCGTGCTTCCTCCACCGCCTCCTTCTCCATCTGCTCCTGCTGAGCCCTGCAGGACAGCTCGGGGCAGGTGAAAGGCCGCGCTCCAGCGGACCCCTGCCCCTGTGTCGCCCGCCCCAGGTCCCGCTCCACAAGGCAGGGCCCAGCCGTCTCGCCAGCGAGCTTCCAGCGTCGTCCCTCTCACCTGAGCATCCTCTCGAACTCGTGGCGGTCCTGCTGCACCTGCACGGCCATGCTGTGCTCGCGCTGAGCAACCTGCTCCAGGCGGCTCTGCTTCAGCACCTGCTCCATCTTGGCCGCCTTCTGCGCCGCCTCCTTCTCCTTGCGCCGCCACTCTCGCTCGGCAGCCTCCTGGCTGCGCTTGGCCCTCAGCGCGTCCTGCCGAATGGGGAGAGCGCTGACGCTGGGGGTCATGGCAGCACACTCCCCCGTGGGGGTATGGAAGCACTTGACCGTGGTTTTGCCTCTTCCAGCGCCGTGGCCAGCAGTGCTCCAGGACATCACGTCTCCAGGGGCTGGTCCAGACCTGCAAAGCCCCACAGACCCACCACATCCCGCCTCGCTGGGGTGGTGATGAGGAAGGTGGCGAGTAAGCCAGCGCAGAAGGTGGCGTGTCAGCAAGCTGCTCACCTGCTCTGCCTGGTGGTCCTGGGCTCTCTCTTGCATGGCCCTCAAACGCGCCGTCTCCTTCTCCTTCTCCCAGCGGATTCTCTCCTGCTCAGCTTCAAACTTGGCCTCACGCTCCTGCACAGAACAGACCCTCATGGCAGCTCCCGGCAGCACCTCTGCTGCCCGCTAAACCTCTGCGCCCTGCTAAACCTCTGCGCCCTGCTAAACCTCTGCTGCCCGCTAAACCTCTGCTGCCCACTAAACCTCTGCTGCCCGCTAAACCTCTGCGCCCTGCTAAACCTCTGCTGCCTGCTAAACCTCTGCTGCCCACTAAACCTCTGCTGCCTGCTAAACCTCTGTGGCCTGCTAAACCTCCACCAGTGCCACACTTGCTCAGCCATTACCATTTTCTGCCTCTGGTACTCAAGCACCCGCTCATCTGCCATCCTCTCCTGCTCCCGCTGCTCCTCTTTGCGCCTCTGGTTCTCGTCATTGATGCGTTTAATCTCAGCCTGGATTTTCTTCTGTTGCTCCTGTCTCCGCTCCAAATCCTGAAAGCAGTGCAGAGGGTCCCAGGGTGACAGAAGTGCCGCAGCACAAAGTGCTCCCTCGGGTCTCCCCACAGGCCTTCACAGGGGCCCAGCAGCTTGGGTTGTTTTCTGAGGATGCCTCAACTTCCCCAAGAGACCAGAGCTTTAATTCTCCAGCTGTTGTCTCCACACACCAAGTCTGACTTTCCCAGCACTGGGTCACACTTCCAAGAAGGTGAAAATCTGACTCCAGCCCCCCCCCTCCCCAGTGGGTCACTGGTTGCACCTTCAGGTCCTCCATCTTCAGCTGCTCCAGGTACTCCCGCACCTCCTGCGCCTCCTGGTCCCGTTGCTCGGCTCTCAGAGCCCGCTCCTCCGCATTCTGCTCTATCTGCTTCACCAGCTCCTGCCTCCCTCTGGAAAGAAGGGAGCAGAAGGGTTCCCTCTGGCTCTGTCCTGCTCTCAGAAGCAGAAGCACTGGCACAGACATCGGTGGCGTGCGCTGCCTCGTGCCGCCCGGTGCAGCTGCAGACGGGGGTTGTGTGGTGGTGGGACCAGGGCAGATGCCTCTGCAGCAAACCTGAGCAGCTCCTGCTTCCTCCTGCGCTCCAGCTCCTCCTGCATCGCGTCGGCCCTTTTCCTCTCCACCTCCATCATCCTGGCCAGGCGCTTCTCTTCTTCCTCCAGCTCCCTCGCGATGAGCTGCTTCTCGAGGATCTGTGCGTCACGGATCATGTGGCACTTGGCACCAAGGATCAGCTGTGGGGACAACAGGGCTCCTGGTCTCCAAGCCAGACTGGGCAGTGGCAGCAGGGACATACACACAGACGAGGAAGAGGAAAAGGGAAGGAGAGGAAGAGCCTGGCAGCAGCCAGCAGAGAGGGGGTTGGGTCTAGGGCGGCTCGGTGAAGCTCGTGGGGGCTCTCACAGCCCGCCCGAGCAGGCAGCCCAGGCAGGTCAGGGTGCTGGCAGGAGGCCCTGGGGTGCTGGGTGGTGCCAGGGAGCCCCTGGACCTACCTCGCTGAACTCCCTGATCTCGTCCTCCTGCTCCATGCGCATCCTGCTCGCCCGCTGCACCAGGTGCCGGGCCCGCTCCTGTGCCACCTCCTCCAGCTCGCTCAGCTTCCCCACCTGCTGCTGCAGCGCGGCCTTCTGCTTCGCCGCGCTCTTGCGCTCGCTCACCGCCTCCTGAGGGGACAGGGAGGGCTGCTGAAAGCCCGGTGCCCCCCCCCGGGACAGCCCTGCAAGGCTGAGCCCACCCGAGGGGGCAGCTGGGCTCACGTAGGGCACAGCAGGCTCCTCCCGCCCGGGTACGGGGCTGGGCAGCCCCTCCTGCACCCCCGCTGAGACACCCCCACTCCCTTTGCAGGGTAAGGGAAACCCCCCTGGGGGAGCAGCCAGTGTGGGACCCCTTCCCACCCATGGACTGGGCAAGCCCAGGGATCCCGCACAGCCCCCCGGGCTGGCGATCAGAGCTGGCCCGAGGCACAGAGCTGTGCTGGGCCCTGCACGCCGTCCCGGCAGCCACAGGGGTGAAGGAGGTGAGAAGGTGGTGGCTCCTGAGAAGAGAGCTGGTGTCTCTAACTGGGTGCATCCGCCTCTGGCCGCAGCCCAAGACCTGTCAGCAAGCAGGTAAAGAGGGGTCAGGGGGGAAATGCCTACGAGAACAGCTTCCTTCTCCGCTCTGAGGGCTGCCAGCTTGGCCTCTCGCTCCTCCTTGGTCAGGACTCGAGCTGCTTCTTTAATGCGCTGGAAATCCTTCTGACCCATAACGAGGGACGCTGCTGGGCTCTCTGCAGGGATGCTGGTGGTGCAGGACACAGGGAGAGAGCAGTCGGTGGCACAGGAGTCTCCGGCAGCTCCCTCCACCCCTGCCCCGCTGACCTCCCTGCCTGGGCTGCCCGCACCGGGGGCGGCAGCGCGGCCCCAGGACCAGGAGTCACCCTGGAGCAATGCAGGAAGCGCCTGAGCTCGGGGACCTGACTGTTCTGGTCAGGGGGAGGAAGAAAGAGAAAGTGGAGGGAAAGTGGCACCACGGTGTGATGCACCGGGACAGGGTACGCGTCAGGGTGGCCAGGGGCTCCCAGGAAAACCCCAAAACATTCAGCATGGGCCTATGAAAACATTCAGCCCCAATGAAAAAAAAATGCTGAAAGTATTTCAGTCCAACTTGACTTTTCCAGCTCTCATTTGGGAAAATTTTGACCACTGCCCTCAGCCCTTCTCCAGCCGGACACCTGCCCATCCCTGCCCCTAGACTAGCTGTCACTGCTCCTGCGTGCCAGATCAAAGCCCTGCGGAGAGATTTTGGGGGGCTGAAGCTGCCTTTTCGCTCTAATGACACTCAGCCTGCTCAGGCTCCGGCTCTGCCCAGCACAGCTCAGCTCCGGCTCCGCTGCCCCCGGAACCTGCCCAGCGCGAGAGGAGGAAACGCCGTGCTGCCCAAACACGGGCACCCGCTCCCCTCCAGCCGTCACCCCGGCGCTGCAGGACACTGCTGTGCCACGAACTCTGCCCGTGACTCACGCTGTGGTTTAGAGGAAATCACTGAAGCTCTTGGTGCCCCCATTTCCCCACTTGTAAAAATGTGGATAATAATACGGGGCTGTTTTCCAGGGGAGTTGTAAGGAGTTAATTACTCTTTGTATTACTCAGATACCATGGTGACGCGTGTGGTGTAGGAGCGTGTATTAACCAAATGCATAGAGCACTTTGAAGATGTTCAGGACTAAGAATTTACTCATTATTATTGTGTGTCACCTTTCATCCACCCTTGTGAATATGAACAGATACCTGCATAATGATTGTTGGAGAGCTGCATCACAGCATCGGATTCCAGGACACTTTAAAGAATGGCTAATGGTCACAACGGCACTAATAAATTTAATGATACAGTGGCCGCTGCTTCAGTTGTCCCAGTGTTTGGGTGACCAGCCTGGGATGTCTAGGGCCTGATTTTCAGGAACTAAAACCAGCACAGACAGTTTCTATTAGCTTCAGCTGGAGCTGTGGCCGTGCGACACATCTGGAAACCGGCCCTCAGCTTCAGCAGAAGGGTCAGACAAGAAAGTCAGCGCATGAAGCCGGGTACCGAGAGCCTAAACCAGCCTCAAAAGCCTCAGCCGGTGCCTCGGCACCATTTCACTCTCCACAAAACCCAAACCCAAACCACCTGCAGGGCGGGTGTCACGTTTTATGGGGTGTAAGAGCATTACACGGAGGTTCAAAACAGGAAGCAAAGATGAACCTTGCAGAGAACAACTACAAGGAAAATTTAGGCAGGTCAAAATTAGGTTAAATTGGAGCTGGCCGGGATAATGGCCCTATTCTTGTCTATGTGCTGCAGGCTTTTAACGAGGTGTAGTAATTAGGGCCAGGGTTCTTACAGTTCAGCCTTGCTTATAAAACGTCCTTGTAGAGAAACGCGGAGTGGCTGGTGCGCAGGGGCTGCGGGTGACGCTCCGCCACCCTCCTCGGACAGGGCTTTCGGGTACTGGGGCACGGGAGCAGTGTTTGGTACGTGACGGGGGGCAGGTGCCACCCTGCAGGGCTGTTCAGCCCAGAAGGAGTTTTTCTGGCTATTGAGAAGGTTTTATGTTGCTTTTTTACTGGTTCTGACAATGATTCAGTGCCCCTGTAAACGCTCGGTGCTCAGCACCTGCCAGAGCCGCGCTGCCACCCAAGGCACCGGAGCGCCGCTGCCTGTCCCTCCTCCCCGAGATGTCCCGGCCGACGTGGGACGAGCTCTGCACACCACGACAGTGCTGTGACAGCCACGCGGGGCCCCGGGAGCTCCCCAGAGCTGCCACGCGGGCACAGACTCACATGAGGTCACGGATGGAGTCCTTGGTGATGAGACGGGTGGTCTTGGGCTTGCGCCTGCCAGTGGGTGACACTTTTGGGAGAGTCTGCACATCCCGAAGGATCACAACGGGGCTGTCGGGGCACGACTGCTGCAGGGTCTGCAAGAAAGGACGGCGTTTGCTTGGGTTTTATTGTCACTGGCCTGTGCCCAGTTCTCTGTCCCCGGCTCCCGGGCATGGAGGTGCTCTGGGCACGAAGCCACAGTTCTCCTGAGCTCTGACATACACCCTCTCACACCACCAAGGCCACTGATGTCTGGGCACAGGAAGGGTTTTTTTGTCTCAGCAGCCCCAGTTCCAAAGGCCCAATGAGGACATGGGGAAACCAAAAGCACCCCTACAGCACTGGTTTTACTATAAAAATCTGGGCATCAGTCTCTCGCCCAGATCTGAAGGATGAGCTGAGAGCGGCTTGTTCAGGGCAAGACCTCACTCAAGCTCGAGCATCCCCTCAGCTACCTCGAGCTGATGGCAGCTGCCCCCTGCCCCGCTCCTCACTGTGGCCACCAGCGCCTCTGTCCTGAGCCCCACGGCCTTGGGAAAAACTGGGTGAAAACCCACCCAGACCGACCCAAACTCCCCAGGAGCTGGCCGGGGTGTCCCGGGGAGGGGGAAGTGGGGGCAGCTCAAGGTCTGGCCATGTGGGCAATCGACTGGCATACAGCACTGGGCAGAAACCAGTCCTCCCAGTACAGCCTGGACTGGTGCCGGTCCCCGTGCTCAAGCCAAGACTGCCACCTAGTGAAGTGTCACCCCGTGGCGCAGGGACCCTGCTCCGCACCCCCGGGCAGGGTGGGAGCAGCCGAGGGCTGTCCTGGACACAGACACGCGTGGGGCTGCCCGCGGGAACCTCTGATCCAGCCTCGGAGCCTCGGGCAGGCAGGAACAGGCGTCCCGGCCGCCCCGGGGTGAAGCCGCTGACGATCCCATGGGAAGGAGTATTCCGGAGCGGAGCAGGCACCAAGCAAAGCTCCGGCAGGCAAGTGGGACGGTCCCTGGCCGGCAGACCCCGGCCTGGCAGGGCAGGTTTGGCTTCCCAAGACCTGGGTCACCTCCCGGATCCCAACCGTGGTGTAGATGTCCCAGAGAAATCCTCACCGGTGTCAGGGAAGTGCAAGAGCCAGTCTAAGGTACACACAGATGTGTGGTTTCCCTTGGACTTCCGTTCACTTGTTCAGCTTTAAAGTTCTGAGCGGCTGCTGGAACAAATCCTGCAGCCGTCTGGGCACGGAGCGGTTCCCTGGGAACCTGCTGCCGGCAGTACTCCCATTTTATGGGTCTGATGGCCCCGAAGCACAGGCTCTCCCACAGCCCAGCACGGCAGATACGGGAGCAGCTTCCCAGCCACCGCGGGCCCCAAGCACGAGCTGTTGAATTAAAGGGTTTGGCTCTGAAACACCCGTGCAAACAGAGATAATAGTGTTATTCATTGCAGCCAGCCCGCACGTGGTCCCGAAAGCCAGGAGAACTCTTTGGACTAGACCTGGATTAATCTCAGGGAATTCAATTAACACCCATATGAGCGTTACGATATTTTTATCTAACTGCCTTGAAGGCTTCCGAGATAACAGACCATAAACCTGCCCGGGGCTCCTCGGCTCACAGGCACACAGACCCGGCAGCGCTCCCAACCTCCCGCCCCATGAGGCAAACCATGCGCAGAGCCTCCAGTTGGGAGCGGAGGTAATCTTCATTACAAGCTTCCTTCCTTGCCTCTGAACAGCCAAGGGGTTTTGGCAAATCTCTTTGGACAGATTTGTTTCAAGAGATAAAGCCCAGGAGAGAAAACAACGGCCACAAACAGCCCCCACCATGGAGGGACAAATGCCTGAGCACAGCGTGGTCCCCTCGCGGCAGCTGCTCGCTCGCTGCGGCCCCGACAGAGACGCCCCCGACGTTTTATCAGCCGAAGAGATGGCGAGTGCGAGGCAGGCCGAACCGCGGCGGTGTCTGGCCCGGCCCTTGTGCCCTAGTCTGTGTCGGAGGCAACACAGAGGGTGGGGAGAGCCGATGGCTGCTGCCACGGACCCGGCCTGCCACAGGGAGAGCCCCTGGAGAGCCAGAGGAGGGGGGGGCAGCAGCATGGGAAGGACGAACAAAATGTCACCCTGGAAAACGCCATCATGCGCCTCAGCGGGTGCAGCTCTCCCCAGGCCCTCCTGCGGGGGCCGGGACAGCCGAGGGACGGGCACGGAGGAAGCGAGGCCTTTCCTTACGGGACTGGAGAGGAAAGAGCTGCCGCTCTGTTTATCTCCTCTCGGTGGCCAGGGCATGGGGCCAGGAGGTCAGAGACCTGCAGCAATTTTGCCTCGTCTCCAAGGGGACTGATTTCGTAGCTCCCTGATGAGTATAAATATGTTGGTAACGAGCTGCTCTGGAAGCTTCCAGGCCCCGCTCCGAGGACTCTGTATCTCTCACAGGAAATAACGACAGACTGCCTGACACCAGCTCCTCTCC